AAATCTCCTATTGTTACAAACACCACCTATGTCTCCTGAAACTAAAATTCTAGGAGGCAAAGTTTCAATTTCACCTTACTTGTGCAATTGCCAGTGTTTTGGACAATCGGTTTTCCTTTCTGAAAACGTTTTCCCTGTTTTAGTCCCTCACAAAGTATGAGGAGTGAAAAATTACTTAAAAAAATTATGATCTAAAGAAAGGTAATCTCTAAGTACAGCCAAATTAAACTCATCAAAACTAAATTAAAAGTGCAGCTGTTAGCACACTTTCCTCATAGGCTCAGTAAAGTTCCAATGTATTTACACACAGATACCTTGACACACGTATACAAGCAAAGGTATTCTCTTAACAGCCCAAGGACTAACACAGAAATGGTTTAATTATAATCAAGTTTCCACGCAAAAGAGATCAACCATGCTGAATTTCAAAGTCAGCACTGGCGCCCTCCGGCCGGCAAAGCACCCGAGCGGGCAGGGCCGAGGGTCTCGGGGATCCCCGCTGCGAGACCCCACGCAGCGCAGCACCCGCTGCCCTACGGAGGCGATCCTGTCCCCGAGCCCGCGCTTCACTGCTTAATTCCTGTGTTTTCCCCTGCAAACTACAAGTGCTATCAAATTCTCCCGTTTATCATTTTCTTCACTCGCACTTCTACTCTCTTTCCTGCCTGCCTGTCCAACAAGAAAAGCCTTTCCTGGGACCAAACCGCACTTCGCTAAACGGCAAACCTGCCTGAAAAACAAAATAAAGATGAGGAGTAAGCACAGAGCTTAGGGCTTGACTCGGCAAAACAGAACTTGCGATGTGCCAAGGCTTGCAGCTAGCTAAGAGAAAAAAGCACTCAAAATAGCTATTAATGGGTATTCCGCTTTCAGCTAATAACCCAAAATCAAATGAGCACTGAAAATACACACGGCAGTCTAAAGGTACACCTAGTTCATAGATGCACTGGAAAAATCCTTCAGACTTCTAACAGCAACTGGCTAACACTGCCTCTGTGTCATCACCTCTCACTCCTCTGCCTCTCCTGTTTGTTTGCAGAACAAAGTAGCTTCTCGTACATAAAAACATGTCTGCTACACTCT